GAGGGAGAGAACCCCCGAGGGAGAGAACCCCCGAGGGAGAGAACCCCATTACAATTTGGAAAGGCAAGGTTTAAATCAGAGTAGTCAGTATGGCTTTACCAGAAGGATCTCATGCCGAAACACATAATTGAATATTTCAAGAGGGTGACCACGTGTGTATGAGGATAGTGTAATTGATGTATTTTTTCTGGATTTCATTGAATCTTTTGACAAGATTCCACATGATGAAGGATCCAGAGTAACCTGGCAAAATGGATCCAAAATTGGTTTAGTGGAGGAATGGTGGTGGTAGAAGGCAGTTTGTCTGACTGCAACATGGTGTTGAGTGGTATACCACAAGGGTTAGTGCTGGATGCCTTATCATTTATCAATCACAAACAATATGGGAAATGTGGGGGGTGGTGACAATTAAGTTTGCAGATTACACAAAGATTGGCCAGGTGGTTGACAGTGAGGAACATGGCCTTAGTTTACAGAAGTTATAAACGGATTGGTCAGATGGGCAGATCAGTGGTAGATGGCATTTAACCCTGAAAAGTGAGAGATGCACTCGGGCAGAAGTAACAAGACAAGGGAGCATTAAATGAATGGCAGAACACTAGGAAGCTCAGAGCAACAGATGGATCTTATGCCTGAAGGCCTGCAGGACAGGTTCATAGGACAGTTAAGGTGGCAAGTGTCTTTAATCAGTCATAGTATAGAATATAAAAGCAGGGAAGGTATACCGGAGTTGAACAAAACTTTGGTTGGGCCATATCTAGAGTACTGTGTGCAGTTCTGGTCACTGTATTAATTGGAAGGATGCGTTTGTACTGGAGAGTGTGTGCAGGAAATTCACCAGGATGTTGCCTAGGATGGAGCATTTTAGGTATGGAGAGCTATGGATAAGCTTGGGTTGTTTTCTTCAAAGCAGAGAAGGCTGAGAAGGGAACTAGGTGAGGTGTATAAAGTTATGAGGGACATGGACGTGGTGGATAAGAAGCAGCTATGCCCTTTAGTTGACGGGCCTTTACAAGGCTGCATAATTTTCAAGTGAAGGACAGGGGGTTTAGAGAGGATTTGAAGAAAACTGCTTTCATCCAGAAAGTGGTAGGAATCTGGAATACACTGCTGGGAAGTAGAGTTGAGATGGGAAACTTTAAAGTACTTGGATCAGCACTCAATATTATTTCATACAAGGGTCTGGGGGTCAAGTGCTAGAAAGTGGACCTAGTATAGATTCAGTTTTTTTTGTCAGTGCAGACTTGATGGGCTGAAGGGCCTCTTCTGTACGATTCTATGAGGTTATCTTTAATCTACATAGATAATAAACAAAAATCTTGCTGTAAAGTTTACACTGCACCTCAGATTTATTAAACAGTAAAAGAAATAAAACAATGATGCAGTTAGAACCATAGTCTGGTGAAACACAATCTGTCACCTTCTAAGGTCAAGGTTGTCATGGGGGAACCAATGACAAAACCAGTTATGCAGAAACAATAGAAATTTCTCCATTATAAATTTACTAAGGTACCTAAGTAAATTAGAAACACAGCTTTCTAAGTCAAGAGACTTTAAGGAAAGGCCACATTTACAGTACACACCACTTTTAAACCCCTACAAAATACAACTCAAAGATGTGGCAAGGAACTTCAGAATAAATTTAATTACCCAAATTGATAATACATTAAAACGAAGAAACTTACGGTTCACCACACCTTCGAAAAACTCATTTTACAGTTCTCGACTAACAGTACAGCTTGGTGTCAATGTTCGTTGCATAGCAGCATGTTAAATAAATTTGTGAAGAATCCTGCTTAATACCTTCAAAGCAGTAACATTGACATCATAAAAGTACCAGGCAATGACCATCTTGAATGAGAACATAACTATCAATTCTTGATTTCAATAGAATTCCCCCATTTTCAATAGTTTGGAGGTTGCTGTTGTCCAGAAACTGGACTGGACTAGCCACACAAATAAAGTTCCCATAGACTTAGCAGACCATAGGGCTGCTCTCTCATTAGAGACACACAACTAGGTCAAAATCCTGGAAGTCCCTCCCCAATGAACCTGTGGATCTACCTGTAGCAAATGGACTACAGAGGTTTGAGGAGGCAGCTCACCACAATCTTCCCAAAGACAACTAGGGAAGAACAAATAAATGCTGGCCCAGTTAGCATCATCCACATACCATGAATAATTAAAACAATTGCTGGGAAAATTGCCAATTGCCACTGTATAGGAGCTTAACTACATAAATACCATAGATCATCACTGGAGCACTGGTTAGCTTTCTGTTGTCTGTCTTGCAAATGTCAGGGGATTAGTCTGTAGTTTTGGCTGGAGCTAAGTGAGAGGAATCCTAAATTTACTCCTCAAATGGATCAGTATTCTCATCAACAATTTTGCTTCCCATCAGTATCAGTTGTTAAGCCAGATGTTACTTTCTACTCCATAACAACGTGACTCAGCCTTTTACAGACCAACGTTGATTTTTGGTCCATCAACATTTCAGATTTAAAATTCCAAATGTCTAATTGGTTTTCCTCTCCTTAATATGTAATTTCCAAATCCAGACGGTGCCCCACCATACTGCATCTATCTGATTGTGGCCTTCAATGCTCCCACACAATTTGGGGGGATTTAGGGGGTGGGGGGTGCATGTCTTCAGCTCTTGATAGTATGCAGCTAACTGCAATGCCACTGTCCACTCAATAATGGATCTGTAAGCTACTTGATCTCAAGTCTATATACAATAAACTTAGCTATTTTCTAAAAAAAAAATCATATATGTGAGATTTGCTGGCTGGACTAGCATTTATTGTCCAACCCTAGTTTCCAGAAAAAAAGGTGGTGGTGGCGAGCTACCCTACCGAACTGCTACGATCCATCTAGTGCAAGGTATACCCACAATGCTGTTAGGGACAGACTTCCAAGATTTTGCCCACGTGACACTGATGGAACAGTGATCTATTTCCAAGTCAGGATGGTGAATAGATTAGAAGACAACTTGTAGTTGGAAGTGTTTCCATATATCCCAGCAGTGATCCCTGTGACATTCCAATTGTTACAGTTTCCAAACTGAAGATGACCCATTAATTGCAAAAATTTGTTCTGTCAGTTAGCCAGTTCTCTATTCAACCAAGTAGATCATCAATACCATGCTTTCATCTAGGGTAGCAAATTTTTAGTGTGTCACATTATCGAGTACGTTTCGAAGAGCTAAATACACATCTATTGATTTCCCTCTATCCGACTCATTTGTGATCTCCTCAAACGTGTCAAACATGATTATCATTCAGAAAATCATGCTGTCTAATTGCATTATGATATTTTAATTGTTCTGCTCCTATCATTGTAATAATGAATTGAGCAACATTGTAATATCAGATATTAGGCTGACTGATCTATAATATTCCATTTTCTGTCTCCTTCCTTTCTGAAGAGAGGTGTTATATTTGCATCTTCTCAAGCCGCAGTACTTTTTCAGGATGTAGGGAATTTTTCAAGATTACAACCAATCCCTTTTCTTTACAATAACTTCTTTTAAGACCAAAGGATGCAGACCATCAGATCCAGGGACACGTCAGTATTAAATCCCATTTACGTTCCCTTTTCTCCCCCCTCTAGTTATAGAGATTATTTCAAGTGAGGAATGCAAGATCAGAAGTAGGCCATTCAGCCCAACTAAACCACTCTGCCATTAAATGCGACCATTGTTGATCGAACACCAATGCCTTTGACTCATGCCATGCCGCTGATCACTGGTAATCAGAAATCATCAACCATTGCCCTAACTACACTCAAAGACTGAACTTCCACAGCCGTCTTGGATAGAGAATTCCAAAGATTCATAACTCTTGAATAAAAACTTCTCATCTCAGTCCTAGTAAGTGGCATCCCACTTCGTTTTAAATAGTGTTCCACAGTTCTAGACTTCCCAACCAAGGGAACATCTTATCTGCATCTACCTTGATGATCCCTTTAAATACTTTGTAGGCTTCAATGAGATCACCCCTCATTTTTCAAAATTCTGAGGAACATAAGCTCAGTTTTCCCCATTCTGCAAAGTCAGAAATAAGTCTGGTCAATCTTTGTTGCACCCCTTGTACCATGAAGGCAATACCTTTGAGATAAGGAGACCAAAACTGCACACAATACTCTAGGTCCAGTCTAACTAAGCTCCTACAGAGTCAAAGCAAGACTTCATTATTTCTATACTCAAAACTCCTACAATCAAAGCCAACATTCCATTAGCCTAAGGATTTGCTTCTCCTGCATGTTAGTCTCCAGGGACTTAATGACAAAGATACCTAGGATCTTTTGTACTTGTTCACTAGCCAACCTTTTATCATTTAATAAATACTCCACACATCTGTTTTTCCTACCAAAGTCTCATTTTCACATTATATTCCATCCGCCACACTCGGGCCCATTCACCAAGTCTGTCTAAATCTTTCTGAAGCTGTTTTACATCTTCCTTCTTTTCTGCCTGTTGATGTCTTTTATGTTTCTAACTGTGTAGGAGGATAAAATTATTGTTCAAAGCCTTTGCTTTTTTCTATTTCCCTATTATTAGTTCTCAAGTCTCAACTCTTAAAAGGACCATTTTAACTTCTTCAGATAATTTTTGCTCCTCTTTCTTTATATACACATTTATAGAGGCTGTTACTTACATCACTTGCCAGGTTTCTCCCATATTCCAACTCACCAGACCTTTGCAAGTATACCTTCCAAATCAATAGTCTACCAAAAGTGGAAAGGCAACATCGCACAAGATCATTGCAAGTTTTCCCTCAAGACAGACAACATCTGGACTTGAGAACATCTCCTATTACTTCAATGTTTCTGTGTCAAAATCCTAGAATTTCCTATCAGAACCATATGAGTGAGAATAGTGGTTGATGAAGCCACTTGCTCAAGGGCAATAAATGATGGGCAATAAATGATGGGCAATAAATGATGGGCA